TCATTACACCTTCTGAGAAATAGAGCACTGCTAGACCAAAAAAAAAAAAAAAAAAGGATACAATATGTATCCCGTAGACCGTGCCACCAATCAGAATTAAACTTGGGAGAGATGAGCCAAAAACCCAATAAAGAAGGAGAAAGAACAGAAAGCCATGCCTCTCACTAGATAGACACTTGATTATTATTATTATTTTTTTTAGATTAATAAGGCATTTCTTTGTCACTTACTGCTTTGTCTGTATATGCCATTTGCTCCAATATCAATCGGACCTTGCTAGACCTGCAGAAGTCAAGTTATCAGACATTGACATTATTCATATGGTCTTCATTGACTAAATATTCAGAAGTAGTCTGTCTCTCCCTCTTCTTAGTCTTTCTCAGTCTGGAAGTTCAGCTGAAACTTTTCCACCATGGGTGATGATGCTGGTATTTAAAGTAATGGTGGCTTAACTTCTGGAATCACTGCAACATGCAAACCACCAAAGTAAAACAAGCTGACAGAAGAATGTGTAGCCTTAATAATAGTCCCCATGCAAACCCTGATAATGGTCAAACAAAAAAATCAAAACAGCATTATAGCTGCTCAAAAAGCTAATGAAAAATGTGGCCAATAAACTAAATAATCATTGAGAAAATAACATAGGAATGTATATGAATTCATTAAATAAATAGAAATGACATTAAGTGAAGAAAAGACCCAAATACAATTAGCAGCACCAAAAAGTACCAAAATATAAAAGCAACGGAGATAGTCAGCAACATATTTGTATTAGAAGGAGGCAGAGTGAGCTAGAAGATAAGAAAATCTGATTTATTGATTCTTTATTGTAACAAGATAAAATGATAAAAAAATATGAGGAAAGTCTAATAAAACTGTGGAGCATCATCTAATAAAAGAATATATGTTTCATAAAAACCCAAGAAGATGAGAGAAAGAAACAGAAAGAATATTTGAATAATTATGGTAGAGAAATTTCTAGATTTGACAAAGGACATAAATCTAGGAGTAAAAGAAGCTCAGGCAATTCTAAATATGATAGACCCAAAGTGATATACTGTGAAACATTATAATTGAACACATAAAATTAAAAGGTAATGAGAGAAACTTAAAAGCAGCAAACCGACACATACAAGAGATCTTCATTAAGATTAAATGCTGATTTCACATCATGTCTTGGAAGCTAGCTGTAGTGACTGATATATTTAAATCTGAATGATAGTGTCAATAAGAATACAAAAAAAATAATAATAAAATAAAGATGGGGATGAATAAAAACATTTCCAGAAATAAAACAAAAACTACAGCAGTTTGTCACAATCATAGAACATATGCTACAGAAATTGTTTCTGAATTAAGGAAACATAAACTAAATAGAAGCTCCTAGAAGTGATTGTTGTTGTTAAGTGAAATAGAGTTGGTTCCGAACCATAGTGAACTTGTATAGGGTTTACCAGGAACAGCTAGTGAGCTTGAACTGCTGACTTTGTGGTTCAAACTTACTTTGTAGTTCAGAACATTAGCCCACAGAACCATACCAGTATTCTCAAAGTGATTAGAAGAGGGGGAAAAACTAAATTTATTGCAAAGGTAATGCTATGGATTAGTACAGAGGCCAGTTTTATAGTATTTTTGGTTTATTATTTTAGGTGTTGTGCCCTACATCATTTTATTTAAAATGAAAAATAAAGGGAAAAATGATTATAGGCTTATCTTATTGGGGTAATACTGAATAAAAAATACAGTTTTTAATAATGGAAAATGAGGACAGTCTAGGAAGACAGTCTATACAAGTTACTGAAATTAAATTTGTAACAGTTTAAATGGGATTCATAAAGTTAGGATACTGTATATAATGGTATACATGGAGAAAATAACCAAAAATACACATTTTCTTTATTCTTTTATAAATACTTATGATGTTCATCTACATTTTCTTTATTATTTTAAGTCTTTTCCCCCTTATTTCTTTGATTATGCTTAACATGATCACAACATATTTTATTATTCAAGCTTCCAATGATGCAATTTCACTTACTTCATCTTGTATGGGGCACCATGTCTCCTATTTTATGCGCATTGTGATTTTTTTTTTTAAGACATTAGAATTCTTGAGAGTGTTAATTTTCTACTGTGTCCTCTATTTTGGGTGATTTTTTTTCTAGTCCTGGTGTGACGCCTTGGGATAATGTACTGGACCACAAGATCTGTCTGAATCACTAGGTCAGCAGCTCAAATTTATCAGCAGCTCCTTGAAACCGATACAAGATCTCTAAGCGTCCGAAACGACTAGATGGCATTTAGTAACAACAACAACAACGATATCTTAGATTGGCAGAGTTTATGGACCTTGGTTATCTCTTTCACTCTCTATTGTATTTTCTTTTTTCTCCTCATTTCCATTAACATTTGTGAGTTTCAGATCTAGGTTACCTGCTTTCGGTGACCCTTTAACACATCAAGAAATTATTCAGTGATCAATCAGCTCGTAGGAGGCAACTATCTAGGAAAGATATCATGCACCAATCTATCCATCCTGGTGTGGTGCTGTGGGTTAATGCGCTGGACTGAAAGGCCACTTTAAACCTCAAAGTAGGAGGTTCTAGCTCACAAGCTGATCCTCGGAAACCCTATACAGGATCGCTATGGGTCGGAACTGACTCGATGGCCCTTAACAACAACAGCAACACTCTATCCGCCCACCAGGTATTTTCTTCCTTTGATTTTCTGTTGTTATTGTTAAGTGCCATCGACTCTAAGGAGCGGCTAATGAGTTTGAATGCCAACCTTGAGGTTCAAACCGACCTTGCGGTGGAGTGTTTATCTTATAGCGCCACCCCAGGACTCCGTGTTATTAAGCCAAAAAGTCACATCCAATGAGCCCACTGCAACATTAGCTATTACCCTAAGGTTTTGCCTAATTGGTTTTTTTTTTTTTTTTTTTTTTCCTTCTCTTTATGGACTGTTTATATTTGAGCTTTCTTTCAGGGAAACTCAGAGAGACTTCCTTCTATCTTAGGAAAGAAAAGACGGGTAGTTACTTGACAAATCTCTTGTTATTGTTAAGTGCCATTGAGTTGGTTCTGTCTCATAGTGATTCTGTTTCCTAGGAGTGAGGGGGGCAAAGTTTGAATCACCAACCTTGTGGCTGGAAGTACCATCATTCGTGTCAGAGCCCCTGCAAGAGTGTGTTGATTGGAGAAGCAGTCTCCAGTTAAGATATTTGCCTCCTAGCTCCATAAGAGCACGGTGGTTCTGTAGGATAAGCACTGAACTGCCAACCACAAAATCGGTGGTTGGAGTCCAGCATCCATTCTATGAGAGCAAGATGATATTTTCAGCTCCTGCGAACATTGCAAGGTGGGATGGAGAAACTTTTGGCCTACCTAAAGTGGTGCTGTAATTTCAACATTAAACTGTGAACCACACAGTCGACAGTTCAAACCCACCAACTGCTCCTCAGAAACCCTATACAGGGTTGCTATGAGTCAGAACTGACTATATGGTAATTAATAACAACAACAGCTTCATTTAAGGGATATTCTATAGCAACTCATATAAGACTAGTAGCTAATAGTTACCAGTAAAAGACGTGCTGTCAGGTTCCAACTTTGATAATCAAATAAATGTTTTAACATTTTTAGTAAAGAGGAAAAATTAATTGGCCTGAAATTTTATTTCTAGGGCATTCTTCCATCTCCTTAGTTTTTGTTTATTTCTTTTTGGTTACTTAAAAAGAGCAACCTCTTGGGTATCTTATAAAGGAAAACCAGTCTCATAATCTGCACAATAGAAAGGATTACATATTGAGTAAGATAAAATCTTTTTTTATCTTACTCAATACTGATGAGGGAAATGACTTATCCTATATTCTGATATTAGACTAAGTAACCTAATAATAACATAATATGAAAACATCTATTAATATATATATAATATCACTTAAATTGTTCACTGTTTCTCTTTTCTAAACTTTCTATTAATTTAGACAAACATTAAAACATGAATAAAAAGTTTTACATTACTTCAAAATTGTATACATACAGATAACATTTAGCAAATAGACGGTGGAAGGCTCAGCGTACTCTTTGATAGTTAATATTTTAGACATTTACACATGAGTATGCAATTATTACCATAACTTCACACATCATACAAACTAGTTTAAAAGATAAATATTTATCTACCCATATGTCAGATGAAGAAATTAAGGAGAAGAAAATTGAATAACTTAGTTCAAGATAGCTAATTTTGCTAATGAAATTGTCTTTACTCATTCATTGTATGTTCCCCTATTATTTCTTTATTCAAACATAAATATAAGTCATTGCAGAACTGTAGCAATGTTGTGATTTTAGCAGCAGAAATCAATTTTCAATTAATCAACACACTGAATCTAAGTCACATATGAGATGCTTTGACATATAAACAATGGCAAAGCAATTGTGTACAGTTTAATTCAAGTGGTAAAATAATACATACATTCTGAATAATAATTAACAATGCAGAACCAAGATACAATCTAATAATACTCATAAACATTTCTAAAATAAAACAGTTATGCTATTATTAGCCTTATAAAATTTCCTTGTATAGAAAGCTTGACTTTAGATTATCAAGGGGATGGTACATGGTCCTTTCAATTTGCCACCCAAAAGTTAGTTATGAATACAGACACAAAGGATACATAGACACATACAATAAAAAAATATCTATTAAGGACTCCAAAGAGGGAAGCTTACCCTGACTGGAATGATTTGTATATAGTGATAACTGACTGAGACTATTTGTCTATGGATCCAAACAAATATTTTGGTTAATGCTGAGACATTTAAAAGCCCTCAGTTATCATTTACATATTAAACTTACAATAGGAAAATTTTATCTCTTGATAGATCAGAATTATTCAGATGACACTGAACATTTTCCATAATCAAGAACATATTTTCTTTAAAAACTATCTGGAATGGGCAACAGCAAAAGGGATGTATCAGGGCCCCCTAGTGTTTCCTAGATACATCCTCTGCCCCGATTCTCTCGGAGGAGGTATATCTGCCCAGCATTTTCTTTAGCGCTGCTGCCACATCTTTATTCCTCAAACTATAGATAAGTGGGTTAAGCAAGGGAGTGAGGATTGTGTAGAATGCTGACACAACTTTGTCTTTCTCTGGTGTGTGATAGGAACTGGGCAATACATTGGTGTAGAAGGCTGCCCCATAGAAAATGCTCACCACTAGAATATGGGAAGAACAAGTTGCAAAGGCTTTGCGTCGACCCTCAGGAGAATTCATCCGATGAACAGTAATCAGAATCTGTGTGTAGGAGACAGAGATGATGGATATAGGAATGAACAGCATCAGTACACAGCAGGAATACATGAGGGTTTCATAAAGAGATGTGTCTATACATGAGAGCTTCAGCACAGCTGGGATCTCACAGAAAAAATGATTGATTTCTCGGGACCCACAATAGGGAAATGTCATGGTGACAGGCGTCAAAATAAATCCATCCAAGGAACCACCAAACCAGGATCCCATTATCATAAATAAGCAAACCTTGCGGTTCATGAGAACAGGGTATCGGAGGGGATTGCACACAGCCACATATCTGTCATAGGCCATGAGGCCAAGCAAAAAGAATTCTGCTCCAACCAATGTCACGTAAAGGAATATCTGAACTGCACAGCCAAGGAAGGAGATAGTCTTTTCCTTGGATAGAAGGTCTTGAAGCATCTTGGGAACAATGATGCAGATGTACACCGTGTCCATGATGGAGAGTTGGTTGAGCATGAAGTACATGGGTGTGTGGAGACGAGAGTCCACATGAATGAGCAGAATCATTACCACATTGACTGCTACAGCCACCACAAAAATGGAGAAGACCACTGCAAAGATAACCCCAGGGAATAAGGGATGGGTGATGAGGCCCAAGAGGACGAAGTCAGTGGAGTTCTGATAAATGACCCCCATGTTCATATCATACCATAGTTCCTAGACTGTTGAGGAAGAAATTTAATCAGTTAAGTAATAATCCAGTATTAGGGACAGTCTGCCATGAACACTGTCAGTCACAGTGTGTAATAAAAGAAATAACACCAACTTTGACATCAGAATCACTCTGAATTATGGCTTCACTACTAATTTTCTCTGTGATATTAAACATAAGAATTCATGTCCAACATAACTTGGTTTCATCATCTGTGAAAAGATCATCATAAATTTATATATTTAGACTTACCTCTTTAGGTTACATGTGAGTGGTAAAAAAAATTGTTTATAGTTTCAGATTCTGCTTAATTTTTTTGAGCTATCTTTTATACTTATTTTCTAATTTTATCACTTAGTTTGAAAGTTTCTTGTGCATTATCCTCCATATTGTCTTGTAATTGACATGTCAAATTTGAATTCATTTCTGCCATTGCACTGTTCAAATTATACAAAGATTGCATATGTATTTCAACAAATTGATAGCACATAAAATCTGGTTAATAAATTTTGATAATTTGAACTAGTTTTGACTAGAGTTATTAAACAACCCTCAGGCTGGTGGGATTATCATGAACTAACTTTATTTGAGGGTCACGGTCGCTGGGCCTTATGGTTAGATATACGGTAACCAAGTAAAGCGTGAGTTAGAGATAGATCACTTAAGTTAAATACTTGGAGTCTACTTTCTCACAGGCTATTTTGGATGATCATAAATCTCAAATGATAACCATAATGAACTAACTATGCTCTACAAACAGAGCTTTGGATTCATCATCATGCTTGCATTTCTAATTGATGCTATCGAGTATACAAAATTTTATGATTTAATATTGCCTAATGTCCTGGTTCAAGCTCACTAGCTGCTCCTTGGAAACCCTATACGTACGGCTTTTCATACACACATATCGCTATGGGTCGGAATAGACTCGACGGCACTTAACAACAACAATAACAATGTCCTGTTGTGGTGCTCTGGTAGCATAGTGGTTACAAGTTAGGCTGCTAACCTCAAGGTCAGCAGTTCAAAGCTACCAGTTGTTACATCATAGAAAGATGAGGCTTACTGCTCCAGTAAAGATTTATAGCCTTGGAAACCCTATGCAGGGTCACTATGAGTCATAACCAACTCAACGGCATACTACCACCACCACCAATATCCTGGTGTGGCACTGTGAATGAATGCACTGGACTGGAAATTCAAATTGAACTTCAAAGTTGGTGGTTCATGCTCACCAGTCGCTCCTCAGGAATCCTATACAGGGTCTCTATGGATCTCAACTGACTTGACAGCACTTAACAACAACAACAATGTCATTCAATGGACTTCTGGTGTGGCACTGTAGGATCAGCACTGAACTGCAAATCACAAGATTGTCATTTCAAATCCACCAGCTTCAGCTGCTCCTTAGAAACCCTAGGTAGGATCATCATGAGTCAGAAAGGACTTAAGAGCACTTAACAATAACAAACAACAAGTATCATCCAAAGGAGCCCTTTGAAGTAGTGATCACTGGGAAACTCTCTGGGGAAGTTCTATCTGCTCTATAAGGTTGTTAGGGGTCAGAATTGACTTGACAGCACAAAACAACAACATTCAAAGTAGATCTGGTGGCCTGTGGTTAAGTCCAAACTCAGAAGCCTCTTTGCAAAAGAAACATGTAGCAGTGAGCTTCTGTAAATTAAAACCAAATCAGTTGTCAAGTTAGTTCAAACCCATGACAACCATAGAACTGGCCTAAGTCTATACAAGGCTATAAATGCTGGTGACTTCATATCTGTCAGAATAGAACTTGGTCTCAAAGGCTATTTGGAAGTAGATCCTCAGGGTTTTATTCTGAGGTGCTTCTAAACTTTAAACTTTCAGCTGACAGCTGAGTGCATTAACTGTTAACCCAACTCAGGCATTTACTTGTAAGATAAAACTAAGTTGTTTATATTTTATAGAAAAATATCTTCACTTTTTGTTGATTTCAGAATGTCTGGTACCACAATAGCACATAACATTTTCATTTATAAACTACTTTATTATTCTTTTATATTTTACATTTCCCTTTAATTGACATATTATAATATGCTTTCGGATGAAAAGTGCTGCCCACTTTATGAAATAGTATAAATATTAGTAATATTTCTACTGCTTCCACACCTGCCACTTTTTAGGTTTACCTGTTATAATCAGACATCCCAGTAGTAGAGAGAAAATTAAGTCAAATAGTTTTTCTGCTTCACATGGATGTTAATTCCTAAATTATTTTTAATCGTATATAAATTAACTTTTTTTGATCTAGTCACCTAGTACTAGAAATAATAAACAGAAACATTGTAGTTTCATGATTAAGCAACTCAGTGACATTATACTCATGTTTGCATATATAATGTCTAACTTGACAGAGAACAAGATCCCCTTAAATGTGAACTTTGATTCTAAACTCAACTTTTGTCGATACCCATTTTTTGTAGTCTAACTATGGGTTAACATGATGAAAAAGATCTTTACTTTTTAAATTTCTCCTGGCCACAGATCCACAGATTATGTTACCTTGCTATAGTTTAGCTAAAATTAACCAACAACAACAAACAGAAAACTTGTGGTATAATACTGTAACTTACATGCAAGGATCTTTTGAAATAATGTAGTAGATGAGCATCAAAACAAAATTAAGAGTCAGATAAATTGAGTTAATTTCCTGGCCATAATAAATGTTAATTCAATATAATCTTGGACTTTCTCCCCAAACTCTCTGAGCCACAGATTATATTGAGATTTTATAACGTACAGTAACACTTTAAAAGACAAATGAGAAATTTATAATAACAAATGAAAACATACTATACAATACAAAGTAAAACGCCAATGCCATACATATATATGTAAATAATTTTAAAACTTTTGGTAAATGTTTAATATTTCCCAATATCTAATTTAAACAACCTACATATTCAATTATCATTTATGAAAATAAAACATAAATGTATTTTGCTTTTTAGATATTATAAACTCAGGCATTCCTAGTGTAGTTATTTTAGCATATTCTATTTCTTTCTCAAAATGTCCTTTGATTTGACAGAAGTGGTCTTTAGTATCAATTCTCAGGAAAAAATGTGTTTATTTCATTTGATTCTACAGAAACCAAAGTTATGGTTTGAGGACCATAAATATGTTTGACCTAAAAACTATAAGAACATAAGGCAGAAAAGATGGACACTGGATAAAATAGGTACCACTGTTTTTTGAATAAATATGTCTAAAACTTATTTTTAATTGCACAATTCCATACATTGTCAAGAGAAGATGATATCTTTATTACATCCTAGCATTTGTAAACATTCTATTTTGTTAGGGGTACATCTCAGGAGGAGTAAGGATAGTTACAAATTGCTTCCTCTCACATTACCTCATGTTGCATGGTGCATACATGTTTTAGAATGCATTAAGGAATAGAATGGCATTCTTTAAGTCAAAGATAATACAAATGCTTCACTTAGTTCTAAACTTGATTTCAACTAAGGATTACTTCTATTGCTTACTTCAAGTATAGCTTTCTCTAGAAAACCTTCTTGAGTAGAGAGTATCACATATATGTAGAAGTGTATATACTTAATATAGTAAAATAAAACAGAACAAAGAAGTATAATAAAATGAACTATGAGAACTGCATGCAACTAAAAATGTAATGACAAATAAAAAGATTTCAGAAAATACAAGAGGATTTGTGAATAGAAAAATATTTACATTTAATGGAATTAACTTCTCATTCAGTTTATACTGAGAGGAAAAACACCACCCAGCTGCTCAGAATCCTATACATCCACATCACAGGGAAACTTCTAAGTAATCTTTTTAAAATCAGGATCAGCTGTGTGCCCATTTGTTGTCTATACATGCTCCCTTAAGAAACACACACTTTCAATTCATATTTATGAACTTAATGTCTTTCTTATCTGCTGCTAAGCAGCCCCACTATAGTTCACACACTAAACTACTGACAAGAGAGCGTGCTGACCAACTGATGATTCAATGAGCAGATAAAAACATGCAGCATGTTACCAGGAGCTACATTTGTATTTCTGCAAAAGAAACACTGTTTGCACCTTGGCTGAAAAATTGGCTTTTCACTAGAAGATTACTCACCCAGTCCCTCTGTAGGAGAAAAGATTGCAATCTTGTATAACTATGAACAGTAATGATCTCTTTCCTACAGGTGACTATAAGTTAGAATTGACTTTATGGGAGTAGGTATTTTTGTAATATAAGTTTGCAGAGGCAAAATTGTTCAAAAAAATAATAGCCAGCCTGAAATCAGAGAAACAATAAGTGTTGAAAAGTATGAAGGCAAAAGTAAAGTTGCAGACTATTAAAGAATGCTGAACTCATTTTGATGCAGAGGATTTGGGTACCTAGGGAGGTGAGGAGTGAGGAGAATGAAAAGAGACAAGGTTTAAAGTAGTTTTATAAAGCCAGTTGTTTTGAAATGATGTTGGAAAAAATAGATTTCTTTTCTCGACAGATCCCAGGAGACTTCTCTTAGATAGTGAGTCACATCACTAATGAGAAACTTCGATGGTAGTGGTCAGAGAGGTGAGTCACATGGGCCAAGGATTTTCTGAGAATTTTGTCAGAAATTTCCTTCAGCAGCACTTCCCCGGGGGGGAGGAGAGGTGGGGAGGGGAGATGAAAACTGAAAAACCATAGAAAGTATCTTTTAAATCTAATTTATGTTGTATTTTACTATTTTATTGGCTGTCAAAATGTCTACACTTATTAGGTTTTACATTTATTGTGAGGAGTAGGTTGTTGTTAAATGCCATTCACTCAGTTCTGACTCACACCAACCTTGTATAGAGTTTCCAATGAGTGGCTGGTGGGTTTGAATCATTGACCATGTCTAGTGCTTATTCTGTAGTGCCACACCAGGACTCCTAGAGAGGGGTCTTCTGGAAAGAACCAGGTATTCTGTTAGACATATTCTAACAGTAGGGAGGTAGTA